CAGGAGTGTGGAATAATTAGTGCTAAATTAAATGCTACTCTCGTCCCACCTCATAAGCCTTGAAAGCAAGATCCAAAAATATCAAACTGTTTCCAAGCAATTTAACCACATCTGATAACAAATCTCAAGAATATTTCTATGAAAACAAATAATCCAGTACCAAAAGAGATAAAATGTACAACGTCTGCAATCCAAATAAAGATGATCAGGCAGGCAAAAAAGAAGAAAAATGCAACTCATTTTAAGGAGAAAAAAATCAACCCACCAAAACTTACCCAGAATAGATAAAGGTGTTAGAATGATCAAACAAGGACATTGTGAGAGGTTGAATTGTGTCCCCCACAAAAAGGTATCTTGAAATTCTAACACCTGGTACCTGTGAGCATGACCTTATTTGGAAATAGGGTCTTTACAGATATTCAAGTTAAATTGAGGTCATACTGAATTAGGATGGGCCCTAATCCAGTGACTGATGTTTTCATAGGAAGAAGGAATTTAGAACACACAGATACAAGAGAGAATATCTTGTGGTGATAGGGGAGAGACTGGGGTGGTGTGAGCCAAGGGACATCAAGAACTGCTGGCAACCACCAGAAGCCAGGAAGAAACTGGAAAGCAATCTCCCCTAGAGCCTTCGGAGGGAGCAGAGTCCTGCCAATACCTTTATTTTGGACTTCTGGCCTCCAAAACTGTGAGTGAATTAATTTCTGTTGTTTGAAGCCATCAAGTATGTGGTACTTTGTACAGCAGTCCCAGGAAACTAACACAGGCATCAAAGGTGTTTTAGATGTCGAAAGTTACATTGAAACAGGAAATATATGAAAAAGGGCCCAAATTGAACTTTTAGATATGAAAATTTCACCTGACATAAAAATATACTGATGGCCTGGCCGGTGTGGCTCAGTGGTTGAGCATCGACCCATGCACCAGGAGGTCACTGGTTCGATTCCTGGTCAAGGCACATGCCCAAGTTGTAGGCCAAATCCCCAGTGGGGGGCATGCAGGAGGCGGCCAATCGATGTTTCTATCTCCTTCTTCCTTCCTTTTTCTTTAAAATCAATAATACTGATGGGATTATTGGGAGATTAACTATTTCAGATAAAAAATAATACTGAATTTGAAGATATAGAAAAAGAAAGCATCCAAAATAAAAAACAGAGAGACAAATAATTTAAATAGAAAAAGCATCAATGAGTTTTTTGTAGAACAACATTAATCAGCTTCATTAAGTATAATAATTGGAATCCCCCCAAAAGAGTAGAAGCACATAAGGGGATATAAAAAATAAATGAAGGTAGCCCTGGCCAGTTTGCCTCAGCGGTTAGAGCGTCGGCCTGCGGTCTGGAGAGACCGGGTTTGGTTCCCACTAAGGGCACGTACTTCGGTTGCAGTTTGTCCCCGGCCCTGGTTGGTCGTGCGGGTGGGAGCCACTCGATGTGTCCCTTCACGTCGATGTTTCTCACTCTCTCTCCCTTCCTCTCTCTCCCTCCCACTCTATCTGTACAAAAAAATGGAAAAATATCCTAGGGTGAGGATAAAAAATAAATAAATATAAGTAAATAAATAAATGAAGGTAAAATGGCTGAAATTTTTCTAATGTTGATGAAAACCATGAAGGCAAAAATTCAAGAACCTCAAAATACTACACAAAAAATATGAAGAAAAGTACATCAAAAGACATGATAATCAAGTTACTTTCAACCAATGATAACTAAAAATCTTTAAAGCATCCTGAGGGAGGGAAAAAAGCATATTGCAAAAGAAAAAAGAATATTGTGACAGCACATTTATCCTTGGGAACAATGCAAGTAACAAGATAATGGGGCAATATTTTTACAGTACTGAAAGGAAAATATACTTTCAATCTATAATTCTGAACCTAGTAATGATATCCTTTAAAAATGAAGACAAAATTAATACTCATTCAGGCACACACAAAAAAGATGGAATACTACATACCCAGCAGATCTGTACTACAAGAAATATTAAGGAAAATCTTTCAAGTAAAAGCAAAATGATGTCAGCGGAAAATATATCTACACTAAGGAATGAAGAACACCAGAAAGGATAACTAAATGAAAGGTATATGAGTCTTTTCTTATGATTTAATTTATTTTAAAAATAGCTGGCTATTTTAAAGATAACAATGTATCACAGAGTTTACAACACGTGTAGATAAAATTTATAGTAATAGAAGCATAAAGGCAAGGAGAAATAGAAGTAGTGCTACCATATGGTTCTTAAACTATACATAAAGTAGTATAATAACAACTGAAAATAGACTCTGATAACTTAAGTATGTAAACTATAAATCCTGAAACAACTGCTATAATAACCAAAGGTTTATAGCTAAAGTCAACAAAAAGATAAAATGGAATCATAAAAATTCCTAAATTAACCCAAAAAGGTTTAAATAATGGGAAAAAAGGCATCGAAAAACAGGTGAGATAAGTAGAAAACTAGCAGCAAGATTATAAACTTAAACTAACATCAATAATGATATCAAATGTACGTGATCTATGCAATTCAAATAAAAGGCAAATATTGTCAGCATAACCCAACTCTATGCTAATTTATAAGAACTGCAGTTTAAGTTAAAGACACAGAGAGACTACAATAAACACCCCAACATCTATTTATTGAAATTGAATGTGTAGTTAAAAACCTTTCAATGGGTAAACCTCAAGGTCCAGATAGCTTGTGAATTCTACCAAATAAGAAAGAAATGATATTGATTCTTACACAGACTCTTAAGAAATTTAAAGAGGAAGGAACATTGCTAACTCACTGTATGGTGGCAGAATTAACCTGATACAAAAACATTACAGAAAAGAAAACAACAGATCATTATCCCTTGTGAACATCTATGCAAAACTTCTAAACAAAATTTTAGCAAATCTAACCCTAGAATACCTTTTAAAAACAAACTGAATACATCATTATCCAGTGGGGTTTATCCCTGGATTGCAAGATGAATTTAACATTCAAAAATCAATCACTGTGATTTACCACATTAACAAACTAAAAAAGAGGAATGTTGACTCATCTCAGCACATGTAGAAAAAGCATTTAACCTAATACCATTCCCGATTAAGAACTCTAAGCTAATGAGAAAGTGAAGGAAATCTCCTCAACCTGATAAAAAAGCGCCTGTGGAAACTGTGAAGGTGACATCACATTTAATGATGAAAAAATGATTTCTTCCTATGATTGGGAGCAAAATGAATATGCATGCCTTTATTCTTTCTATTCAAAATTGTCTAGATGTTCTAATCTGTGCAATCAGATAAGAAAAAGACATGAAAAAGCACCCAGATTGGAAAGTAAAACTATCCATTTCCAGACAACACAATTCATAGTAATCAAAGGAATCTACAAAACAGCTACTGGACTGAGTATGTGAATTTAGTGAGATTGCAGCCAAGCTATCATTTTATTTACAACTTCACAGTAGACCTTGAGCCAGAAGCATCCAGTGAAGCCACTCCACAGAAACTCCAAGATAATAACTGTTGTTGTAAGTCTATATTGGGGGCAGGGGAGGTATTAACCCACCACTTTTCAGTGCACAGGGTGATGCTCCAATCAACCCAGCCACACTGGCCAGGGCTACTTCCTTTTTTTATTGCAGCACTGTATGGACGTATCACTCTGTTTACCTGTTGCTTAGTTGAGAAACAGTTGGGTTGTTTCCAGTTTGGGGTAATTATGAATAAAGCGGCTAAAAACATTGAAATACATATATTTTAAGGATATAAGTAAATGAATTTTGAAAAAAGTATACATTTTTTATCTCCAGTCTAATTAAGATATAGAGCATTTCCATAACCCTGGTGAGTCCTCTCCTATCTTTTTCTGATCAGTCTCCTCTAAAGATTATTCTGATTTCCATCACTACAGTTTCCCCTTTCTGCCCCAGAAAATCATATAAATGGAATCATACACTGTGTGAAGAATTGATGTTCTTTTTACCCCCAAGAAGAATTAGTAAGCAATTGAAGGCTTTTAAGAGAGAAATTGTCACTATCTAATTTATATTTTTAAATCTTGGGGGTTTTTTTGGCTATTGTGTAAAGAATGATGAGTAGATGATAGTGTACCACTTAAGTATTCTTTTTATTCCCATATTTTGAGGGAAGAGGGGAGGTATATGGCTCAATAAAATTCCTGGGCAGACCAGAATTTACCTGTAAGCTTCAAATCCATGTCTCAAAGCTGGAGTTGGAGTTCCCTCAAGGGGCCAAGAACTGTTCTTGCCATTCCCAGTTCAGCCCAGCAGATGGCCCCAGAGCCCAGTCCCGACCTACCTCGCCAAGTCCGCCTGCTGCAATGTGCGCTGGACGCCGCCAGGTGACTGCTCGCCGCGATTTCTGCGCAAAGCGCCCGGGTTTGCGCTGAAGTTGGGGAACAGTGAGGATCCGCCAGGGGTGTGGCGCCCCGGCTTCGGCCGCGTGTCAGGCTGGCATCCGCAGAGGCACCTTAGGTCAGAAGAAGCTTGACCCCTTGACTGCTCTGGATGGTTCATTCTGGGGGACTTTCTCTTGATACAAAGTGCCCTGGGATGGGGGTCCCGGCAGGCGGCGCTGTTAGGAGTCTACCCACGGGGAAAGCTGGCCCACTCACACTGGGACAAGGAAAGGAGGGGCTTCTAAACTAGGCTTTGGAAAGAGCTAATGGGAGGAACGCGTGGGGCTGGTTGGAAAGCAGGGTGGGGACAGCCGGGACTGGTGTTAAGTGTCAGGGAACAGACAGAGCGGGCTGCGTGGCTGGGGCTGGGAAAGTGGAGCCAACAGGCTTGTTTGCGCGGAGAGTTGCCTAGGGAAACAGAACACTTGAGTACCTCTTCTTCCCTCTCCAGCCTCCTCTTTGGTGCTGAAGTCACAACCCCAACGAGTCCTCTTTCTCCCACCCCTCCCTCCCGCTCTCCTTCAACCCGAGGAATCCGACGCGCAGAGAATGAGATGATAGTGGAGGATGAAGAAATGGCCTTGGACCCGTGGAAAATGAGGCCGATGCCCCTACTGCAGCTGGCGCTGCTTCTCGGCGGCCTGCCCAGGAGCCTGGGCGGGAAAGGATGTCTTTCTCAGTCCTGCGAATGCCACCAGGAGGAGGACTTCAGAGTCACTTGCAAGGATATCCGCCACATCCCCAGCCTGCTGCCCAGTACACAGACTTTGTGAGTACCTGGAGGGGAGAGGGTAGGTCCCAGAGGCCAAGTGCAGCTGGAAAGGTGAACAGAAGTATACAAAAAGAACTTGTGGATAGGCCAGAGGTGTGTGTGTGTGTGTATGTGTGTGTGTGTGTGTGTGTGTGTGTGTGGTGCGTGCAATGAATAAAAACTCAATTTCAAACTTGGGATTGCTGACCCCATAGTTACTAATAACACGGGAAAGGATAACAAAACTTCAGTACCAGATGAAAGTGAGAGTTGTTCTTTCTAAAGAGCCATTCTGTTTTCCCTGCTCCTCACCCAAGCTGAATCTTAGTTTTAACTCAGATATTAATAAGACTAATAGCAATTCAGTAACTGGCTTTTTGATCTTATATTGGGGAATAAAAAATTGCAGAAAAATAGAGTTCTCCTTTTAGTCTTTCTCGACGGAAAATCATCTTAGCTGGTCTGCTAATTCATCAAATAGTTGACAAAAGTATAAGCAGGGGCTCTTTTTTTAAATGTACCTTTTATACTTTCTATGAAGGTAACTTTGTATGAAGTATCTGAGTTACTTTCTGAAATGCGAACTGCCCACTGACATAGTGAATCCAGAAATTTCCTTTGGGATAGGCATGGTAGAGGGATAGAGAGATGAAATTTCAGAAATTACATTTTATCTGCATATTAAATGTTACCGAAAAATTGTCAGCTGGTTACTAGCCTTATTGAGGGCTCTCACTTCTTAAGTTATATAAATGTCTAATCACTATGCTGTACACCCGAAACTAATATAATATTGTATGTCAACTGGCAATGACAAGACTTATTTTTTTAAAGTTACCAAATTAGAAACAAGTTAAATAAGTTCTATGTATGTCTGCTCCTTAACAGACATTTCAATCGGTGACCATTGAAAGGATAATTGCAGACAAAAGTGGCCGGGGGGGGGGGGGGGGGGGGGGGGGTGCTTTCTTGAGTGGTTAAAAATAAAACACAAACTAAAGCCTGACCGGTTTGACTCAGAGGTTGGAGAATTGGCCTGCAGATCAAAGAGTCTCAGGTTTGATTCCAGGAAAGGGCAGGTACCTTGGTTGTTATGTGATCTCAGGCCCTGGTTGGAATCATGTGGGAGGCAACCAATCTGTGTGTCTCTATCACATTGATGTCTCTGTCTCTGTTTCTCTCTCTCTCTCTCTCTCTCTCTCTCTCTCTCTCTCTCTCTCTCCATCTCTCTCTCTCTCTCTCCCCCCTCCCTCCCTCCCTCTCACTCTATCTGAAAATCAATGGAAAAATCCTTGGGCAAGGATTTAAATAAAAAAGAACACAAAATAAAAATAGTAAAACAACCCAGACTGGTTAAACCCAGTTCAGGTAAGAAAGTACAGGTTATTAATGTAGATGGATGAAAAGCAACGGTGAAGTTCCACTTCATTTTCTCAAGAATTTAGCTCTTAGGGACATGAAACAATGATTAACATTTCAGTTCAGGTATGTATTTCTATGCTCTGAGATACCTCAGTTTCTTATCTCCCCTGTATTAATTTGGATAACCTCCAAATACTGCTTTATTCTCCATGCTCCAAGCACAGAACAAAGTGCATTCTTTACTCTTGGTTGAACCCCTGCATTGACTCTCCATGGCCTTCATAATGAAACTCTTTTGTATACCCTACAAGATCTTTTAAGCCCGAGTCCGGTCTTTCTCTCAAACCTCATGGCTCCTAATCTCACTGACTTCCCACTCCTACTAATCAGAACTTCCAGCACGCCTATCCAAGTTCTTTGCTCTCACAACTGCCTTTGCCTTCCCTCCCACATCCTATCCCTTCTGCTTAAAGCAACTATTGCCCTGTTTTCATTTGGCTAATGCCTACTTCAAGGGCTTAATTCTTTCCAGAAGCTTCTCTCTAGGCTGGGTGAACTCCCTTCCTCCAACATTCTGTGCATGACCCCTGTTCTGGCCCTTACACATGGTGTGCTTTTCTGTAACTTGTTTCTTTGCATGCTCACCCAAGCAGGACACAAGCTCCACTAGCACAGAAACCCTATCGTTCAACCCTGGAACTACTTTGATGCTAGTCTCATTGTTCATGTGGGAAGAAGGCCAGAAACATCACTTCTTCAGAGACTTCTTTAAAGGCAGCCGAATGTCCAGCCATTGAAGAGAGATGAGGCTCTAACAGTGGACAGGAACTTGGGCTCATCCTGTTAATTGCAACAAATGATAAAGAGAAAGGGTAATGTCAGAGAAAGGGCAATGGAGGAGGAGGTCAGGAAACCTGTGGTCTCTTCGTCCCCCTCTCACTAACTGAAATTAGGTGAGAACATTCTTTTAGGAGGACCCAAGTGTCCTCCTGGGTCAAACAGAGGGTTTAGTGAGGTGCTTTCTGATGTCTGTGGTGCTGAAGAGAGAATCCACTAAGAGAAGCCACTGATTCACAAAGACTAAGAACTGAATAAAGACAGGAGCAAGGAGAATCTGACCTTGAGAACAATTGGAGGGGGACTATTCTGAAAAATGACATTATTGTGAGGTAGGGAGGAGAAAATTTAAAAGTATGGGTAAAATGGTATACTGATTTAAACAATGACCACAACCATCTATAACACTAGCAAAGTGATTTTTAAAACTTTGGGGGGCAGTAGAACTCTTTTGTTAAAGGACACTATGATGTACGTCAAATATATAAAGCTATACTGTTTTATTGTGCATATTACTGTTCTCAGCCCTTTACATGAACCCAACCCATTGAATTCTCACAAAGTCCAATTGAGCAGATGATTTTATTATTCTCATTTTCTAAAGGAAAAAACTGGGCAATCACCAAAATGATGCAATTTGCTCAAAGTTTCACAGTTTGTACGTCGTGGTGCCTGGTATGAAATACCACAGCACTGCACCCTGAAAACTCTGCTCTCAGATGACAGGGGCCCTCACCCTGTGAGCCTCTCTTCAGTGCTATCATGAGGCTTTGGAGAAAGAAGATTGAAAACTTATTATGTCCAATAATTCACAAATAACTTCTGGGGGCTGTGGGCACAAGAAAAATGCAAGGACTCAGGTTGGGGGGAAAGGAAGGAAGGGGAGAAGAAAGAAAGAGAGGATGGGAGGGGAGGAGAAAAAGAAAGACTAACCTATGTTATAGAACGCATTCTCTGCTGAAAAAAAGAAAATCAGATCTTTGTCATGAAAAACTTCTCCTGGGTGGTAACTGCTTTTCTGAAGCTAGGTGCTGTGTACCCACTGCCTAGTTGATTGACAAATTATTATGGTGCTGAGAGAAATTTGTCCTAAGCCTGGTCTTCTATTCATATATTGTGGTTCTGAAAGATAAACAGATCGCCTCTTTCTGCACCATCCAGACACCTGCCACGTGGTCTGGTGGATGGGTGGGAGAGAGCTGTATTGTTTGTGGCTCTCACTGAAACTGTGGTCCTGAATCCTTCTCTCCACTTTCCCCCTCCAGAAGGGCATGGTACACTCTCATTGTAACAGTGGTTCCAACTAGGTGGTAGGTAAGAGGGGGCTGGTACCCCTACCCCCACCCCCTCACCCCATAGAAGTCTACAATCTTGGATATAGTTTGAAAAAAATTGCTCCTCTCAATGGATATTTACTGATTTAAGGGAACTTAAATGAAGCAACCAGAATACAACTTAAAATTTTAATTTGGGTATATAATTATAGATCATATTACCTCAGAACCAAGGATAGCAAGACTAACCCATCACTTTCATTCAGAGTGTTTTCATTTGCCACCTGTATGAATAACTGGACCATCCCTTCTCTGAATGGGGAGGTGGATAGGGTTTGACAGCCATTCTGGATTTGTGTGGATTCTTCCTCAAAGTGCTGCTTTATCATGCTTGTCCTTTCAACCTACCTGCTTTCAGTTTCATTATGGTGACAACCCATAATTACTACCTCTCTTTTTCTGCCCCCACCCCACCTCTACCCTCTGGGGTCTAGGGCTTCAGTGGAGCAATGGTTTGTTCATCACACACTTGTACGCCTCCGAAATGTTTCTGAAGGAGGTGTTGCAGCTGTTGTTTTTGGGTTCTGCTTTTTACTTCAGTTTGCAGTCATTTGCATTCTGCATCTTTGGCTCTGATGGACTATCCCATTGTTTTCTAAGAGGAAAAGAATCACTCACCATCTTCAGGACTTTTGCCACATTCTATCTGTGCTGTTGTTTGCTCAGTATCTACGTTGACTCGCTTCTTTAACTGAAATTTATCTGGAAAGTTATATCATGACTATAAATGGAAAATTAGCATGACTTGCTGTAAAGAGGAGGAAACCAGAAAACCAAATACAATGAAAACACAAATGTACTTATATTCTAGTTTGAGATAATTGTCGGAGGATGCTCTGAGTAATACGTGTCCAGGAAACATTAAAGAGATACCAGTCCGGCACAGTGTCCTTGGTGGTATCAGCAGGAGGGAAAGACGATGGGAAAGGGGAATCACTTTCTCACTGTGGGATTCCATGTTATTTAATGCCATGTGGGCATCTCACCTAAAATAATCTTATGTGTCTCCAAGTCACACCTGTTCCACATTTCACAATTGTTTAGTCACAAGCAGTGGTCATAACTGAGTAACATTTGGTTTTCAACCTCAAGAGACACGCTCTGCTTTAGCACCCACTTGCTGCCCAAACATTTTATGTTTGATAAAGGTGGCTTCACTGCATCCTTCCAGGTGCCATGATTTCTCTTTTATTCTGTCTGTGTGTGTGTGTGTGTGTGTGTGTGTGTGTGTAGGTAACTAACAAAACCCATTCTGTCCAGCTTAAGGAGGAAATAAATATTTTGAAAGAATAACATGTAATTTACAGAATCATTGTAGAACCAGGCTTTGAAATAAGCCAGGGCCCAGGGCAGGCAGGAAGTTGGAGCAACAGCCAACCCTCTGGTTGGAACAACTCCATGGACAACACCTCAGCCACAGCCACTGGACATTTGTGGAACTGGGCTCCCAATGCTATAGCTGCTGAACAGTCTATGTGTTGCCAT